CCCAGCTTTCGCCAGTCGCAGTGTGTCCTGTAAATAATGAAGTCCCCCAAATCGGGGCTGCTTGGAGGCGTCACATCACGCCTCGCTTCGCCGTCGTCGGCATTTTGCGTCGGTGCCGCGGATAGCGTGGCTGGCCAGTTCGCGTTCGTGCCGGTGGCTGACATCATTAAGTAGGCGGTCGAGTCAGGGATCACAGTGCTGATCTGATCGGTGCTGTAAATAGCGTTGGCGTGTACGTCGGCTGGCAATCGAGTGGGCGCTACCAGTAGCTCTTGCGCGGGCTCGGAAGTAAAAGGATTGTTGAAAATCAAGTAAGTGCCGTCTGAGCGCTCGTCAATAGAAATGCGGTTGCCGCGCTGCCAGGGTCTACCTAGCAGTAAATCGAAGGGGGCGTGTTCGGCCACGTAAAGATTTGCCCAAGTTCTTATTCCTCCACAGGTGAGGGGTACATTTTGGACTAGTCCGTCCATTATCCCGTCCCCTCCGTTCGCGTCATGCATTGTGATGCGCCGACTTCGATCTAGTGGGCGTTTGATATACTCTTGCCAAATGCGTTTATGTACAATGTTTAGCTGCGAGCCTGTATCAACAATTGCGTCCAATGGACGCCCATCACATTCTAATGTTAATTTGATCAGGGCATCCCGATCGTGCGAGATAATCGAGTGCGCGACCGCATTTCCCCCGGATGCGGGTGGCTGTGCAGGGCGCTTAAACCTAATCGCGTCCTGCAGCTGATAAGATACGTCTTTTGACACGCCAATCACTTCCCCTACCGAAAGGGTAAGTGGCGCGCTAAGAATCTTATCTAGAACCTCGCGTGGCCTGGCCGATTCCGAAATCTTGGATTGCATGGGCGCCACACGCCTCGGCTTTTCAACCGGAACCGGTTTGGCGCCTCCCGGTAACTCGGATTGCCGGTGATTCGGCATCACAGGACGCGGTAGGCTTATTGTCTTGTCCTCCATTATAACGTCCTCATCGGTTGGCTTATACTCTTGGGGCTTAACGTCGATGGGGATTATCCTCATCCCCTCTTTGCCTGGTCTCTCGCCTGGTGGACTCTTCCGCTCGTTCTTTCGTGGTCTGGGCGGCATTACAACTCCATCCAGTATCTCTCGTCGCGCGGTCTTGCCTTGTTTGACGCCACGCTCGGCAGGCATTACTAGAACCTCGTCCTCCGATTCGTCGAACGTGTCGTATTTGGTGGTGAAATGGACTCGGCGGGCATCAGGTACGTCCCACCCTAGTGTTGCATAGTGTGTAGTTGCTAATTGTCTTTCCACAGCATCCGCGATGGGCTCGGTGGGGCCGCGTCGTATTCGGCTGCCATTGCTCAGCACCAGCTTCCCATTCGTGTCCTTGCGTACGGCTCCCTTCTCAAGCAGGTCGAGTATCTTGGGGCACGAACTCAATCCATGGCCGACCTCGCCGCACCCGAAGCATGTCATTTCGCTCGCGTTACGCGTCTGGAAGGAGCGGTCGGGTCGGGGTGCTGGGGTGATAGGTTGGAGCGGTTGGTTTGCGGGGGCGGCTGGTACGTCAAATGCACTTGCGTAGGGTGGTCGGACGGCGAACACAACATCGCGGTCTAGCTTGAGGGCGCGGAAGTACATTCCGGCGTAACGTGCGTCGTTGATACTCATCCGCGACAGTTGTTTTACTAACGATTCCACCTCGTCTTCTAGTCCCGCTTTACGCTCGTCGCGCTCGAGCTGCTTCAACCTTCCCTCGGCCTTGGGACCTTCAATTATGGCGCGTCGCTTATCCTCTCTCGCTGCTTTCTTGTCGGCGCGGGTCTTCTCTGCCCCGTGTTCGTTTTCTCTCTCGTGTTCCTGTTCCGTGTCGCGGTTACGTTCTCTCCTCCTTGACCTTTTCTCGCGTTGCGCTGTTCTCGTCCCGCTATTTCCCTTTCTTCTTCGTTGGATGATAGCTCTCGCTCGAAAGAATTCTTCGTCGCTATCCTCTTCGCTTTCTGTGTCTGAGTCGTAGTCACTGCCTGTCTCGTCACCAGTAGTTTCTGAATCCACATCTGAATCGTCCG